TTCGTAGAACAAATTCTTTAGAGCCTTACGTTTGTATAAGTATTAAAAAGAAATTAATATATTGATTTTAGTTTGTATCTATATATTGTAAATATGTCTATGCCTGTTAAGTTAAGGAATTGATTGGCCCGTGTGAGATGCGAACAAATTAGTGATACAATATTTATTGTCCAGTGAATAATTTTAAATAATCGATAACCTTGTACAATTTTAAACGCGGTTAAAAATGTCAAAACCGTTGACATTTCTGTCAACTGTCAAAAATTGTATTGTCTATGGCTTAATAATGTTCAACTGAAGTCTTTGCCTAGATTTATATTTAAAAGGTTATTATTGGCAGATTATAAAGAGAAAACTATTTTTGATTGATAAATATTTTTAAAAGGATTTAAAGAGTAAATTTTTATTGAAAGCTATATAAATATCGTAATGTCTTGTGGTATTTATTGAATAGATATATAAAAAAAAATTGTTACCATTTTTAATTGTAAACAGTTAAGTAATTTGTATTTTTATGTACAGCCGATTTGTTGTTAATAATTTTAATAAATATTTACTTCTTTTGATCCCCCATATGTTTTACAGTTTTTTTTTAACTTGCAAAGTAGTTTACAGATAGGACAAATGCTGCCATTAAAAAGTAGATGATAGTTAAATATTCATTCCAAAAAAGCCAAAATCAAAAGTAAAACCGTGCACAATAACATGACATGACGCGCCTTGTGACGTCATAGCTAATAATATTGCGCTCGGGTTACTGATCAAATTATATATAAAATTGTCTACTTAAGAATATTGTACAATGCAGTGTTGCTACTTAGGACCAAAATTAATTTATTGCGTATGTGAAATATGTTGTATATAAGGCAGCTAATTAAAATAATTTATGTTATATTTTAAATGTTCAGGACTTAGTGTGGAATGTCTTCCGATTGTTACATATGTAACATTGGACTGAAGGCGAGCTACAGCTCATACGTATTAACTATTTTGTTATTTTAACAATTGAATTCTATTAAATCTACGCAAGTTTTACATTGTTATTATTTATTTTAACTTCCTTTTACTAATATATAAGAGACTGCTTATATATAGAAAACTCAATTCAAATACACCATTTATGTAAAACTTACTAAAGTAAAAATTAATTATATACTATATTTACATTTTAACTAAATATAAACATATTAAATCAAATCTTGCAACTTGGAGATTCATCTTAAATAGATTGCGAAGACTAGATACACAGTACTTCAAACTGGTTCCCAACAGCTTCAAGTATCATCTAAATATCGACTGCAAACTGCGGTCCGTGTATGGGTAATGTCAACCGATAATCATTCATCAAAGTTGTCAAAACAAGTGTGTGTATGTCAGCCCTTAGGAACAGCAAAGTAATCTGTTGACGCACGAAAATTGTGCTTTAAGTCGTTTTCTTGTCTTGCTCTCTTTCTACTCGAAGTCTTTTCATTTTTTCTAGATGTTTCTTGACGATGCGGTACTTGTTTAGTAGCAAAGTTCTCTCCCAACTCCATGTTGATAAGTGCTAAAAATAAAATACACAGTCTTGTATACAGCATAAATTGCTTTTTCATATAAATAAAATTGCATTTTTGCTTAATATGCAGTTTTTTATAGTATTTTCATAGCACTTCCTGTTAAAATATAAAATTTCTTTTTTTTTTATGAAATAATATTAAAATAAGTCAATCAACAAAATATCTTTATTCATTCACCATTTAAGAATTTCAAACAAACAACTAACCAATTTTTTGAGTACATTGTACCACCAAAGCTTACAAGCCACCAAAATAATTACTTAATCTTTTGCATCCATTAAATATATTCAGTACATGAACTCCCAACTAATACGTTTCTAACTAAAACCTATACTATCATTAAGGAACACATTGAGCTGCTTTTTGCGGCTAAACATAAATAAACAAAATAAATGCATAAATATTTTCTACTCTGTGACATCAGCGAACTATAGAGAATAAAATAAATTTATTATCTATGGTTGTACTCAACAATGGATAGTCAAAAAACAGAAAGAACATCCACTGAACAAACAAACAATATGTACTTTAACATTTTAAAAACTTTTACAACAAAATATTTTAGAGTAATAATGTTTAACAAAAATAAAATATGTATGTTTGAATCAGTTATGAATTAATTGATTGCATGAATTAACTGAAAATGAATACACAGAATAATTCACTTTTTACGAGAGATAACAATTTTCGGCGGGTAAATGACATTGCCGCCATGACAGTTGCACAACCGTGAAAAGTTCAAATTGTCTATGTCACTGGATGATGTCACACTGGATGTGTTCACAAGCGAGCCACAAGGCAACCTGCGGCAGGCAAGCCGGACTCGAGGCTCAGTTGTCGTCTTCTTCATTCTCAAACATCTCGCTGTAATCTCGTGAATGTTCAAAATCTTTCAATTCCTGAATAAAAAGAGATATATCGTGAGAATGAATAAGAATACAACTCCGTGCTCTTTATGTGCAAAAGTGGGACTAAAGGACTGGCTACTACTAAATAAATACATAAACTTATATAGTATTGATAAATAATGTATCTACTTTCAAATTATATGTAACACTTTCAAAACATGCAAGAAATATTGCTTAACTAAGTTTGTTGCTCATTTACTCCAACAAGAAAATAAAAACTAACTAAACAATACTGCAAACCAATTAAAACCATAATCTACTGTTGTTATAAAGGTAATACAGAGTAGTGTATTCATACCTGGAACATTCCACTAGCAAAGGCATATCCTGTCATAGCAAACGCGGCAAAGATTGCTGCAAGGATCTTGTTACGAGTCTGGTTGGGGAAGTTTGCAGCCGCACGGTCTGCCTGTGTACCTGTCGATTGCTTTTTGCTGTTCTGGCGGTTGTATTCTGTAAAAATCATACTATTAATGACATTACTAAGACACATAGATAATAAAAGATGGTTAAACATGAAACTAGCTTTCAAAACTTGTGTGATTGGAACTTCATAATTCATGCTAATTATGAAATTCCAGTGATGTAATACTTGTCTTATAACAGTGTTGTGCCTTTTATATCAGAATTAGAGGGATGACAAAATGTTTTACAGTTGAATATACAGAAGCGAGTGATATTTTTCTCACTTCTAAAGGTTTCTTACTAATGAAAACCCTTAGTAGGTTAGTACTACCAATTCTATCAATAAGTAAACTATAAACTGGGCAATTCGAATTTAAAAACATACCATCGGTAACCTGTCTAAAGTTCTTCTGATTAATTCTCCCAACAAATCTGGTTAGATTTGGAATGCCTTTTACATGATTCCCAAGAGTACTGTTAGGAAAAGGAGCTTTGACTAATGGCGCTAGATATGCAAAGACTATAGCATCAAATGAAGATGGCCGGTTGCCAAAGAAATATTCACTCTCTCCCAGACGATCCGACAGGGTTGCCAGACACTTTTCCGCTTCTTGGTATATCTGGAATCAAATTTAAAAAGGTAAAAGCCATCTCTAACTTAGACAATCACAAGGTGGAAATGGAAGGTTAGAAGGGATAAGCAGTCAAGCAATTAATACATGTCAATTTTAATGTTTGAAGTTTCAATAATTTTGGATTTAAAGTCTATCAAATCCAAAATTAATATTATTTAAAGTTTAATTTATCTATTAAATAATTTAAATTATAACTTACAGTCTTTTCAATCTCTTTCAAATCAGTATTCTCTCCATACAAAGCATCTATCATTTCTTTGGCTACATTTTGATACTTTCCAGGATAATAAAAATTGAAAGGTATTCGTAATGCTTTTGCATATGCTGGTCGAGTAAGTTCTGTGTAGTTCTTTTCATCCACCCACCATGCATACTCATATGCTGGATATAGTTTCTCTCTTAGGTATTGTGTGAATGCACTTGCTTCAGCTGCTTGATTGGTATTCAGATGAACATCGGTACTGTAATGCTGAAGTAAATAAAATATAAATTAGCTATAAGCATATTCAACAAGTATAAACTGGTTCAGTGCCTAAAAATTGTTTTATTCATATTTGTGCAATTATTGAATAAATAAATAATACTCAATGTATAGAATTTTGATTAAAATGTTATGAGGATAGTTACTTACTAGTGACTTCAAATGATCTACAACTTCTTCAAAAGTTGTAAGAACATGACGACCATCTCTCATGACAGGCAGCCGACCTTTCGGTGCGAAATATGGGTTATTCGCTTCGTGTACTTTTACAGGAACACCAATAAATTTCATATAGGTCTGTAATAAATATTCGGTATATCATAAAGCTACTCGCCGGGAAAAAGTATCACAAAAGGTTATTTTATAATCATACTTACTAAAACCTTTAGACATTCTAAATCAATAGTGGCTAAGCCCCACTCACCACGCCATATGTCTAATTGTATATTACTCATTATCACTCTAAATAAACAATTAAATTTTTATTTTATAGAAATTGCACAACTTGACATTTTTTTAGATTTTTGCAAACCATAGACATAAATTGTCATTTTTTCAGAGCAAGGAGTAGGTATACAAAAGAGAGGAGATATAAAATCGTGGACAACAATTTTTATTAAATACGAATCTTATTCTATTGATGTTCAAAATTATTAAAAATAAACCTTTACTCTTTAAAAATTATAGTACTATATTTTTCGTTTTGGTTAAACATGAAAAAAGTTTATTCGCGATATTAATTTATAAACATTTTACAACAGTTACTATCATTGAATCGTTTTCCATTGAAATCGCCTCAACCTTATTCTTTTTGATTTTGAAATAAAAAAAGTTCGAAGATTTCTCAATTCTTATTGATTGCAATTGATTGTGTTCAATTTTATGTTACAACGTGGACCAATTAGCTAAAGACAAATAAAGTTTATAATCTGTCCAAATATATGACGGTTTGTCAAGTTGACATGCGACTCAGATGATATATGTTGTCATATGACTTTAAGCTTTAAAACAAACGTCTAAGGTCCATATTAAATTAAATCAAAGTTTGTTTTTAAGCATTTTTGGGTAAATTCACATTCAGTGAAACTTGATATTGATGTGATTTTACGAAGAGAAAAGGAAGAAAATCGTTTTTCGAGTTCAGGGAGACATAAACTAAAGTTATTAGTATTTTATATCTTCGACAATCTTCAATTTATACTATTACATTAATCTAGAAAGTGTCTAGTAAGTTCTAAAGATTTATATAGAAATTTTGCTCACTGAATCTTTGTTAAAATGTCGTTACAGTGGACATTTATTGCTGGTTATCTATACTTTGAAATTGCTGTTGTCATCATTATGATACTACCGATATTTAGTCCTCGGCGATGGCATCAGTTTTTCAGGTCACGTCTTTTCGCAATGTTCCAACAGCATGCCGCATTGTACTTCTATGCATTTCTAGGCGTTTTGACTTTGTTTTTAATGGACGCCATCAGAGAAATGAGAAAATATTCAAATTCGGAGCCATTACCTTCCCATTTATCAACAGAAATGAAGGGTCATGTCAAGCTGTTCCGTGCTCAACGAAACTTTTACATCACGAGTTTTGCTATATTTCTAGCATTTGTGATCAAACGTCTTGTAACAATGTTGATTATTCAATATGAGCTTGAACTTAAGGCAGAACAAATAATCAAACAAGCTGAAGATACTGTGAATCAAGCTAAAAAGGCTATGCTTGATAACGATATGCAAGTAGCAGAGTCTCAGAATTATAAAGAATTGAAAAATGTACTGGAAGTTACTGAGAATTTGTTGGAAGAAGAGAAACTGAAAACAAAAGAATTGGAAGAAGAGGCAACAAAATGGCGACTCAAATATGAGAAGTTAGAGAGTATTACAAGTGGAAAAGGTGATGAGTAAAGTACTGTCATAAGATTTAATACATTATCATATGAAATATTCCAAGAGATGCTGCATAATATGTTATCAAAAAATGCTTTAAATAAAACATGATTACATAAAGTAACAATTTGAGATTAACACATAATATATTGACTTCCAGAACATTTTATATTTTCTTCTATGTAAAAACTAATCTTTTATATAGAATAAAAAATTGGTATTTACTTTGCTGCCATAAGTTTATATTTAATCATGTAACGTTTAAATAATTTAAGTGTGGCATTTATAACTAAAACAAATGATCTTTATGTTTGTTTTGATTTTAAAATTTTGAGACTGATTGTACATTTTTATGTGAAGATTCTTTGGTTCATTCTTTGTTAAATAATTGATATAAATCTTAGTTGTTAGCAAATGAGTCATTTTGAACTAAAGTTTGTTAAATTAAATGTTTAGTTTGCTAGCTAAGATTATATATATAGAAAATGTGTAGTAATATACTACTTATTTTAAAAATTATCTTATCTGTATTTCAATAATCTAGTCTATTATTTTATATCTAAATTTTATTATAATTGTTTAGAGCAACTGGTCTTCCTGTTTTCAGTCATCCTCCGCATGATTTTTAGTGGCTGTCAATTAAGTTTTTTATGAGTACTTATGGTTGTTGACTTAAAATTGAATATTAAAGCAACTGTTTATTGATAATATTATATTAACCGTACCATTTATTGTTTTTTAATGATTTTAAAAACATGAAATGTTGAAACTTTGTGGAACGAAAATCGTTTGAGCTAATAAAAACAATTTATACAAATATTTCTTTCATTTTCAAATTTATCCAAAATAGGCATTAAGCCTTTTGGGGTGATGATAAGTGAAAACATAATAACCCTTGATTCATTTTATATCGGGTGTATCAGAATCGATAACCAGAACAAGTAAAGTACAGTTAAAGTGATGCGTAAGTGTGTGATACCTCTGAGAAATTAAAAGAAGGTTCAGAAATACTTCTTTAGACATTCCATCATATTTTCGAACTGTGAGTCATAAGTCTAAGTGACAATGACACTGACATCAAATGTCAAAATTATCAAAACCGTGGCTAATATTATTTGTTTATATTTTCATGAATTAATGTTAATTCTTCATTAATAGTTCATCAAAAACCTTGATGTTAAACCAAAAATCTTAAATGAGCTGGTAGTTCTAGGCGATTTATTAGAAGTGTTATAGTGCGTAATCCGCATCCGTATCGTATTGGTATCCGTGAGCTGTTTGGTACCGTTAGGTATTCTTTATTTATGAATGTGGGAATTTTCAACAGAGTTAATTTTAAGGTACGAATCAAAATAATCTTTTAAACTTATAAATCAATTACTCTTTGGTTTCCTTCTAGTTATAATAAGTGTAAAAAAATCAAAATTGCTTCATTAAATTCCTTTTGCACTCTCTCTTCCACTACTAATTATTTAATGAATTTCTCGTAAAACACTGATATGAAATGTAATAAATAATGTAAATTGCTTCATCTGCTTTTGATAACTTTAACTGTAGCAGATGATTTATTATCAGTTATTAAATAAATGAAATATGAAACATATATATGAAACTGATAATGGCCACTCCTATTAAATATTCTATATCACTTGGACATTGTATTGTTATGGAATTACTGTAGATTTACTAGTCCAGCAGTGTATGTATATCAATAGAAACAACAAAACATGTTACTATACCATAACACTTGATATAAACAAAGTTTATGTTATTTAACCTGTTTCAAATTACACTATACTATTTACTCATCAGGTTTCTCTATCACATATTGTTACTTATGTAAATGATTGTAGAGCAAGGACAGTGAGGGCATGTATTCAGAATGGAGCTCACTGCCACTGGAGGGAGGAGGGCAAGGCGTGCTGGGTGCAGTTGGCGGACGCGACGTTGTACTCGCCGTCGTGAAGCAGCTTGCAAGTCATCAGCCCAGCCCACTCACAACTGATACTGAGGTAGTGTTGCTTTAGTATGGAATTTATAAGTTTTGATGACTAGTGTGCTTTGTCTAATTGTTATTTTTTGACAAACTTATAAATGTTGTTTCAAGCCATTATGTTCTTAATTGTTTTCAGGTTGAATGGGTGCTGGAGGTTCTGCGTTATGGCCTATCACTACCATTAACAGAGCATGAAGCTTTACGCGCGTGCGTTTACGTGTGCCACGCATGGCTTGGTGCTCTGTTGCCCCCCGCGCCGGCGTCCCAGCCCCCGCAACCCGCCATCCCGCCACCTCTAGCAGCTGACCCTAAGCGATATGCCGCAAAAATACTCAGCCATTTACATAACCTTTTCGTGCCAAGAGCTGATGATAGTAAGTTGAAAATATTTTTTGCCAATGGACAAATAGGACTAAACACATTTTTAACCAAGTTTAAGGTACATCACACAGTTTAGGTTCACATACAAATTAAATTCAACTGAGATTATTTATAATCAACATAGAATCAAAATGGATTTCTGAACTGTATGTAATTCTTTTACAAGCACTCACATTCATCTATCAAATGGAAATAGGTAAGTTGAGATGATAAAACTTTTCACTTCTTTACTTGGCGATGATGCGGTATCAAGTAGTTCCTTGTTTAATGCTTATTGTGTATAATCTATGTATGTAGGTGCAGACTTGATCAGCAAGCAGGCCGTGTTGTGCCACCGTGTGCTGCGGCTGGCACGGTCATTGGCGGACAGTGGGGCTTTAGGACCGCGCGAGTGGCGCGCACTACTGCTGTTACTGTTGGCCGCGGCGGCCGCGCTGCTAGCTCCGCCCGCACCCCATCACGGCGCAGAGCAACTCTGCGAGCGAGTGTTATGTGTGCTTTTTGAAGTCTGGATTCTGGCTTGTCATAGGTATTGTGATATTTAGATGTTTTTTTATCAATATTTTTATCTGATAGCAAAAGAAGCTAAGTACTAAGTGTCTAGTTTACTTGAATAATAATTATTTATCGATGTGTTGTTGCCAAATGCGTTCCAATGTGCGGGGAATAAAAAAATAGGCTATTTTTTACTGTACGCTGATAAGTTTGTGGGTGACAGTTGGTTTATAAAAATTAGGTGTTATTTATTGTGTTTGTGTGTTGAGATGTTTCCCCTCGCCGGCGCTGTGGCGCACGCTGCGGGAGCAGTGTGTACGGTGGCGGCACCGCGCGCCGCTCGCCGAGCAGTGGGCGCGCGCCTCGCTCTGTCTCACGGCGCGCCTGCTCGCGCACATGTACGGACCAATGTTCCCCGCAATGCCCATCGGTCAGTCAAACATATCTCATTGTAAACTGTGACTTGGTTTAATTATATATTGAAAATACTTAATTCCGAGGCCCACAAAAGATTATGGACTTATGGACCTAAGGAATAAGTATTAAGTAATTCAGTCTCCTACAAATGCGTTAAGTAGGGATAATGTGATTACTTTGATGAATTACTAGGAGAGGAGGATGCGAACCTGGTGCCGGCAGATATGAGCGCGGAGGCGGTGATGCAGACCTGGTACCGCATCCTGCACACTATCGGCAACCCTGTCGACCTCTGCAGGCCACATGTTATAAGTCAGACTCCGGAGTTTTTGCAGGTTATAACATATATTTGATGGACATGTGTTTTAAATAAGTAAAAATACTTAATTTTTAAAATCAAATCACTCTTTAAATTCTTGATTTAAAGTACAAATAAAATTATGTATTATTTTTTTTTCTTTCATAGTATTCCATGACTGCGGAAGATGGTGCTCGTGATCCCAGCACACATCCCTGCCTCCAGGCGTTGCCTGCGATCTTCCTCAAGGCGATGAAGGGCGTGGCTGCGCACGTTGACGCCTTCCTTGGTATGTTATTACTAAATGCTTGTCGGAATGTTTTTTTTTTTCTTGGTGAATGTTCTGAATTATGTTTGCCTTGTAACAACTATCGTGTGTCCTTTGAAAGGAAAGTTATCGACCAAGTCAAGTCTAAGGAGATATGTAACTCTTTTCTTCGCATGGCTTTGTATAAGTTTTCAAAATTTCCTATGACTTAGACTGAATGATGAATGAGTTTTGTTTTTTTTTTGTGTGCATTGTTTTATTTTAAAGTGTATTTGGATGGGTTATGAGGTGGTATAACATATTTTGGGAGATTGTGTGTGAGTACATTGGGAGTGTATGCGTGCGTGATGAAGTGCGTATACGTGCATATTATGTACGTGCACGTTATTCCTATTTTAATTTTTTTTGTAACTTAAACAATCTTATTATTATGATATATATGTTTTATTATTTATATAAAAAGTAATTACTATGTCGCCTATAAATTATTCGTAAAATATCGTATAAGTATGTGAAACTCTTTCAAGCTCTAAATCTCTTCGCATAGCATATAGTGCTGCTATTATATACTTCTAATATACCTAGGAGCTTTTTAGATTTGTAAAAATTTTAGTTAATATATAAGTGCTTTGCGTCGATTTAAACTACATTTTTTTTGTAAATATTATCCAATGTATTTTATTTTATTGTAAATGAATAAAAATCTGTATGAATCTGTTAGACAGATATTTTTGCATAAGTAGCACTTAAATTTTTCACTCTATAAATCTTTTTTCACGTATTATGACGGCTGTTGGTTGTCTTAAATTCTTTTACCTTGTCCGATACTTTATAAATGAATATTATTCATATGTAAAATGGATGCAAAGCACTAGTAGAGGTACAAGGGTGGCACAGGAAGGGGCGCGGAGTGGCGTGAGAGCTGCGGGGCGGG